GCAAATCAGCTGTCCTTCTGGTTCTCTGTGGCCTCATTCAGCCTCTCCATTTTCTCTTGATGGAAAGTGGAGAGGAGTCAGCCAAGGAGGACAGCAGAGGATGGGCAGCCCTGCTCTGGGCCCAGCCAGTGCTGGGGGATGGTGGCCTGGGCTTCGGACATGGCTCAGTAAGGACAGATGGGGCACTGCAGTAGGATTAGCCCAGATCTGCTCAGATGACCTGCACGCGCCCCCATCCCGTCTCATTCTCCTTGTTCTCACCTGTCCTGCTGTCCTGCTGTCACCAGCTCTGCACAGCACAGGCGCTTGGACAGGGGATTTAATCAGTCTCTTGGCTATTAGTCCCCAAGTAGTAATTGAAGCGGGCTGATTGGACCTATCTGTTAGGCCCAGGGAGCTCTGGGGAGATGGCTTTTGGAGCGTTTCCTCTGCCTGCTAATCTATCTGTCTGGCATTTTATCTGGAGCCCAGAGCTCATGCTTGAGCACTGAGGCATTTTACAGTATTATTATTACTTAGCACTTATAACATACTTCATCAATGAGAGGGTCGGCAGCCGTGCCGTCACTCTAAAGCATGGCGCTCCAGATAGAGAGATACGGATCTCACTCCGGGTGTGTAATATTTGATGTCTGTGTCTTTGGGTTGCTTGTGATCTTGTTATTAGTTTTGTCTCCTTGAGGAGAAAACCTACCTTCGTTCTCCTGATGCATGGGGGTCAGGTGGATGGAAGGCACAGGGATGGGGGCAGGAAGGGTGCACAGGGGAGGGCTTAGCTTGGGTTCCCCCAGAAGCAGACCCAAGACAAGGGGTTGTATGCATTGATTTCTTTGGGAGGTGATCTGGGGAAGTACTAGTAGGGGAGTGGGGAAGGAGACGGGGGCAGGAAGAAGTGAATACAGGATGCTGTGCTACTGAGAAGGTTACCGCTATGGGCAGTAGGGCCCAATTCCACTGGGGAACTTGGCAGCTGGAGGTTTCATCCTGAGTCCATCTGACATTGGCCGAGGCTGCTTCCAGGGCCATTCACTCCCCAGTCCCTTGAGCTCGGCCCCTACCTGGGCTGAGAGAAGCCCTCAGGTGAGTCCCAGATGCCTGTGCCATGTGCTGCCCGCTGGGTGCCCGGGAGGTGTGGACGGGGCCCTGGCAATGACAGTCGTGGCTTTGAAGCTGGACACAGGTGTTCTGATAAGGGAACGAGCCCGGGAGAACAGCCCTTCTCCGTCATCTCAAACCCTGCCAGCTCTGTGTGTCCCCTGCACCTCAGGGCTCGAGGCTGTGCCACAAAGTCCAGGACAGTTTGCAAAGGTCTGGGGACTGTCTCCAGCTGCTCTACCTTCCCTAACCAGAGTGGAACGTTCAAAGAGAGGCACAGCGTATGGCTTGGGTTTGAATGCCGGCTCTGGCCCCTTCTGGCTTTGTGACCTTCGGCAAGTGACCTCATCTCTCTGGCCCTTAGTTTTCTCATCTGTGAAATGGGAGTAGCAATGATAACTAGCAGGAAGGTCTTCGAAGGTTAGGTGAGAGTGTCTATAAAGTGCCTGGTCCCGTGTCCAGCCGTAGAACAGGAGTCCAGGACACATTCCTTCCTCTTCCCTTTCATCCAGGGCTCCGACCCTCACCCAGGACCCCGACCAGAACACCTGAGTCTGGTTTCCAAGTCTTTTTTTTTTTTTTTTGGAGACAGAGTCTCACTCTGTTGCCCAGGCTGGAGTGCAGTGGCACAATTTCAGCTCACTGTGACCTCCACCTCCCAGGTTCAAGTGATTCTTCTGCCTCAGTCTCCCGAGTAGCTGAGACTACAGGTACATGCCACCACGCCCGGCTAATTTGTGTATTTTTAGTAGCGATAGGGTTTCACCATTTTGGTCAGGCTGGTCTCGAACTCCTGACCTCATGATTTGCCCACTTCAGCCTCCCAAAGTGTTGAGATTACAGGCGTGAGCCACCGCGCCTGGCCCTCCAAGTCTTTGAGTGACAGAGATTTCCTCAGAGGCTCACATTCCCGGGGAGTGGGACTCCTGCTTCCAGGACGCTGCATCTTTCCAATGCCGAGGGCAGGCGGGCACCCTGCTGACCACTCCAGCAGCCCTGCCTGATGCCTGGGCTTGCAGATATCCCCATGCTCATCAGGCCAAGGCAGAGCTGCATGGCATCCCCTTAGGGGCTAATTTATACAGCAGCTTAAGTATTGTTTAAAACTCCTTCCCCTTCTGGGAGATGGGAGGGGCGGCTGCTGCTGCTGCTCCGGCCGCAGGCTCTTCTTCAAAGGGTCTCCCTGCAGGCAGATGGAAAACTTGCTAGGAAAAGCTTTTCCTTTCTTTTTTTTTTTTTTCCATATCTATTTTTTCTTGGTTGCAATTCTCGTTCCTGCCTGATTCTCTACCTTCCACAGGGCCAGCAGGTACCTCATGGGGATCAGAGCTCTCAAGGCCCCTGGGGGCACCTCCTGCAGGAAGACTTCCCCAATTACCCCACAGGCTCCAGCAATGCTTGTTTCTGCTCCGCCTGGTTTCCTGGCTTCCTTGTGACCATGTGCTTCATGTGTGGAGCTCCTCTTTGTGGACTGATGAGTGTGTGTACTGGGAACTTGCTGTCTGTCTATCTAGGGGGATGACAGTGTCTCTAAGGATAGGACTTGGGTCTCATCCTTCCTCTGGGCTGGGGGAGCTGCTGCCGACTGGTTGGGGGTGAGACAGTCTCTGAACCCACCCGAGGGCGCCTGCCTGCCCAGGTAGCCTCTGGTAAGAGCCAGTGACTCTGCTATATAGGGGATCCGTCAGAGCTGAAAGGTCTAGAAGCCCTTCATCATATTAAAGACCAATTCCGAGCAGATTAAGAGGACACAGCATCTGTTCTCTTGGGCTTGGGGAAGCCATCCATCCACCTGGAGCAGCTCTGGGCGGGCAGAGGAGCTCTGGGCAGGAAAGAGAAAAACTCAGGTGGTGAGATGGTGAAGAGCAGCCTTCTCCTGTGCCCCTGAAGAGAGGCCCCAGGTGCTCCGAGTGTCCAGGCTCTTGTGTGGCTCTGGTTCCCCCCAAGGTGCCGAGCACTCTGCCTCCTGCACGGGGTCATGCTTTCAGTCAGATCCCCCAAAATGCTCAGGGGCCCCTGCTCTTTCTTAAGACAGACTCATCTGACTCCTTCCAAGGCTGAGGGCTCAGCTCTGTTGGGGCATTGCCTGCCATCCTGCCTTCCCCCTTTTCCTGCCTGGCTGCATGGTGGTCCAGGGCCATCTGGGGATCGGCTGCACGGTGGGGAAGGGCCACTTCTTCCTGGTAGGGCTGGCCAGGAACAAAGGCAAGGGGACTGGGGAGGGGACTGGGCTCTGCTCTATTTACACTGTGTCTTGGGGGCCCGGAGCTCTGGATGCCTCCCAGAAGCCTGAGTGGTGGTGGCAGGGGCATCTGTCCACTGAAGGAAGGGCAGAGAGAAAAGAATGGGCATTTATTGATTTTCTTCTATATGCCAGGCACCAGGCCAGGCCTCTGTGATGCATGATCTCATCATGTAAATATAGGACGGTGGTCAGGAGATCAACTTCCAAAATCGACAGAACTGGGTTAGAATTCCAGCTCCCCCAGTGTCTGGCTGGGGAGCACCAGGCAAGTGGGTTCACCAGCCTAAGCCTGACTTTGTTCCTCTGTGAAGTGTTTATAATCAAAGCGCCTTCCTCCAAGAGGCCCTATCTCTAAAGCACAGGGCAGCGTGCTGACCCAACAGGACGTACCCCGTGAACATTAACGCCTTCTGTTGCGAACGACCACATGATGCAGAAAAAAATCATGTCCTGATTTTTGGAAGACGCAGCAGCCAAAGCCTAAGACGTGAAGAAACTCACTTGAGGCCACTAAATTGGAGAGGGGCAGCGCGGAGATACAGGTGAGGCCCATGCCTTCCAGGTCCAAAGCCTAGGCCCTTCTCAGACGTCCTCCAGCCTCCACGGGGAAAGAGATAAATGATCCCAGTGCTAGCGAGGGGCCCGGCTGCTCAGCCACGCTGGAAGGGCAGGGAGACCCGGCTGCCAAGCTCCCAGCAGTTGCATAGCTGGGCAGGGACTTTTCCTTGGAGCTGGAGGAGAGGCTGCTCCAAGGTGAGCCCCCGGACATGGAAGGTGGCTCTGCCGGGACAGCTGTAAACTCTTTAACCTTGTGTGGGGCTTCGTCCTTCAGCAGCCCGGTGAGGGATCAGTGGCAGGGGCGATGGTGGGGGAGCTGGAGGTGGCGGTGGAGGCGGCCCCGCACTCACTCACTCACGGCAGAATGGACTCTGGATAAACAATTATAGACTATTTACCTCAGACCATATGGTGCTGGGGAACAGGTGTGCGGGTAATGAAGAGCCCAGCTCCAATTAAGCGTCTGGGAACCCGGCCGGATTCCCGCTGAATCTTGCGCTTGGGTTGAGGCCCACTTACAAATGAGAGCTAAAAGGACTGAGGCTCGGGGAGGCATGAGGCTCGGGGAGGCAGGAGCGGGAGCCTGAGGGGTGCGTGGCAGGGCCAGCCAGCGGCCCCCACCCGCCGCTCTGTACCTGCTGGCAAGTGGGTACAGCCCAGGGACCTCATCTGGGCCTTCTCCATGGCAATCTTGGTGCATCCGGGAGTTATGAAGGGGAATGGTTCATGGCCATGCAGCTCTTGGTGAGGCTGTCCTGGGACCTGTCAGGGTGGGAAGTCGGGGGGTGATTCCTGTTAAGATTGGGGGGATGGGGCAGGCACCTGTCACTCTCTAAGGTCTTTCCCACCCTGACTCTCCCTTGGCCTTCATTCCCAACCATTCAACACGTAGTTTTGAGTACTTACTGTGTACTGAGCTAGGCACTGGGGACATGCTGATTAAAAAGAAGTAGACAGAGGCCTTGCTGTCACTGAGTTTATGTTTTAGGGGGATGGGAAGACAAACAGTGAGTCACGTTCATAAAGTTGTCACATGCATGAAGAAGGTGAGTCACATACATGGATAAGGTCATCACATGCATGAAGAAGGTGAATCAGCTACATGAATAAGGTCATCACATGCATGAAGGTGAGTCACATACATGGATAAGGTCATCACATGCATGAAAGTGAGTCGCAAACAATAGGATCATCACATGCATGAAGAAGGTGAGTCATACACATGAATAAAGTCATTCACATGCATGAAGAAGGTGAGTCATACACATGAATAAAGTCATTCACATGCATGAAGGAGGTCATTTCTAAGCTTGGTAAGTGTGAGGAAAGCAAATCATTTCATCTGCCTGATGGACTCTTAGCCATCCCTGCAGGCCCTGCTCAAGGGGCCCCCTCTTCCGACACCTCACAAATGCCTCCAGGGGTGAGTCACCAGCTGCCCCGGGCTCCTGTCGCTCTCTTGCTCGCCCCATTGCCCCACTGCAGCCCTTGGAGGTTATGTAAACAGCTGCTTCTGTGCCCTCTCCTTCCAGGGCACTGCCCTTCTGCAAGTCAGGGAGGATGTCCGCCTCGAGTGCTATTTCCAGCATAGCACAGGGTCAGGCCGGCAGATGAGGGGGTTTGGTGAGTGATACGGCAGCTTCAGCCTCCTGGGAAGACATTGTCCACTCCGGCCTGTCCTGGCCTGAGCAGGTAGGTGAGCAACAACTGCGGAGAGTGCCAGCCTCTGGAAGAGCTCCAGGGGCCTCCTCTGACCACGGTGCCCGCAAGGTGCCCCTCACAAGTGTTCTGGAGGCTGTGAGCAGAGCCAAAAAGATGAACAGCTCCTGTCCCCGTGGTGGGCTGATGAGAGTGGAATGAGGGCACATGTTCCAATGAATCTCTCGTGTCAGTTTTCACTGCAGCACAAACAGAGGGAGGTGGGGAATGCATTGTTTCTTCTAGGAAGCCCTGGTTTCCGTCGCTGATGAGGAGAGAGAGACAGAAATGGGGATTTTTCACACTCCTTTGCCTGGTGAATATTTTTGTTTTCGTTTAATTTTGGATTAGCGCATTGCTTTAGGACTTGACAGATGAAATCAGCACCTTCCCAAACTTCTCCACTGGAAGACTGTCTGGAATATCTCCTCCTGACCCTCTGGGGATGCTGCCCACTCCACAGGGCCCCCTGCAGCTCTGTCTGATTATAAAGGGAATACCTTCCAATAGAAATACACAGCTGGGTTATAGGAAATGGATAACAGATGATTCCTAGGAAAATCAAGGTTTCAGATGAAAAACCTGCACAATTTCTGGGGGGTGCAAGGTTTCCGGAGCCAGGATTCTAGAAGGCTCCAGCCTCCAGCCCTCCCTCCCCAACCCAGAGGGCAGGAAGCAAACTAAATGGGCTCTGAAGTGGGAAACAAATTGGATTTTTAAAAAACTGCTCTGGTTCTAATGATCGAAGGGGTTATTCATAATCCTGGAGTAGAAAGTGTATCTTGAAATCTATGTTTTGTGTTGACAGCTTCTCCCTAATGGGCAAGATCTCACACATGATAGAGCCATAAAACGTGGCACTCCTGGCTGGCCCTGCTGCTTGTCTGATAAGGGAGATGGAGGGACTCGCCAGCACAGGCAGAGGACCCCGGGTCTCACCCTGCCCCCATGCCTCCTCCCCACCCCAACTGGTCTCGGCTTCCAGCATGTTGCCAAGGCCTGTTCTGCAGAACACAAAGCCCGTGCTTTGCAATGGCGAGGACTCCATGTTCAAGAAAGGGTGGGAAATGCCCCCAATCTCTCCCCTCCTAGGGATTCAGAACACCCATGAGCAGAGTCATGGCTGTGAGGAGGCTTCCAGTAAAGAAAACCTGGTGAGCTATGCTCGACCCAGTGGTTCTCAGATTTGTTTCACTGCAGAATCCTGTTTTTACACAAGCCCTATTGATGTCCTACAGAACAAATGCTTTCCCGAACCTACGATGGGTCACATAACGGTATCCTTTTCCTAGGGCTACCCTATCAAAACACCACAGACTGGGGGGCTTAAATAACAGAAAGTCCTTCTCTTGTGGTTTTGGAGGTTGGGAGTCTGAGATCAAGATGTAGGCAGGGTTGGTGACTTGGCTGTGTTCTCCCTGTGTCCTCCCGTGGTCCTCCCTCTGCACATGTCTCTGTCCACATATCCTCTTCCTATAAGGACACCAGTCGTGCTGGATTAGGGCCCACCTCAGTGGCCTTGGTTTGCCTTGATTACCTTTTAAAGACCCTGTCGCCAAAATGGTAACATTCAGAGGTGCTGGGAGTTAGTGTGTCAACATATGAATTTGGAGGGGACCCATTTCTGCTCATAACCGTAGCAGTGAGCCTTGGCATTATGAAACGTGGTATTGGGGGGACCGTGAGGAGAGTACAAAGGTGGGGAAGTGGGCAGGGTATGGCTGCTGACTGCCCCTTGGCATTTTTCCCATCACAACAGTAATGACATTAACACTAACTACATTTTCACACCCGTAATCCCAGCACTTTGAGAGGCTGAGGCGGGTGGATCACTTGAGGCCAGGAGTTCGAGACCAGCCTGGCCAACGTGGTGAAACCCCATCTCTACTAAAAATACAAAAATTAGCCAGGTATGGTGGTGGGTGCCTGTAATCTCAGCTACTTGGGAGGCTGAGGCAGAAGAATCACTTGAACCCAGGAGGCAGAGGTTACAGTGAGCTGAGTTTACATCACTGCACTCCAGCCTGGGCTACAGAGCAAGACTCTGTCTCAAAAAAACAAAAACAGAAACAAAAAACAAACAAACCAAAAACAACCAGTAACTGCATTTGCCAGGCATTTACACATTACCAGTACTTTTCCATCCGTCAATTAATGTGATCCTTTTAACAGCCTGTAAGATTGGAGGTTCTATGGTTATTTCCACTTAACAGAGAAGGATGCCTGCACTCAGAGAGGTTGAGTCACTGGTTTCAGGTCACCCAGCAAATAGTGAAATCAAGGACTAAACCCAGGTGGGCTTAAAGAACCAGTCCTGAGAATTAATGGAGGATTGATTCCCTGCCCTCCCTGAGATGGAACCCGCCGTTGCTGGCAGCAGAAGCAAGAGTCATCTCAGAACGGCTCTGAGGGCCCCTGCCAGGCAAAGCCTGAGTTCCCACAAGTGGCATTTACCCTGACAAATCTGGGCCCAGGCTGAGGCCCACCTCACTTCCTGCCAGCTTGGATGGAGAGCCATTCCCTGGAGCTTCCCAAGTGGTTTCAGATGAGCAGATCCTGCCGGCTGCTCTAGGCACCTGCCCATTTGTGCTGAAAGTCAACCAGCTGTGAAAGATTGCAGATTTTCTCAGCTGTCCTGGGGGTCGGGTGTGGTGGAACCAGGACACAGAGTGAGACCACCCCAGCTTCCCTGGCCTCATCTCAGAGACAGAGGCGGGCCCAGCAGCGAGCTTTCTTCAAGCATGAGCAACCCAGGTACAAGCTGACTGCGAGCGGGACCAGAGAATTTGCTACTTGTTAGGCAGGAGAGGGTGGCGGCTGGGTTAGCAGCTCCAGGAAACCAGCTGACTCACTTTGACCATGTCCATCCTGGCCTGGCCACCTGCTATTTGCTTCCTTGGTGCCTCTTAAAAAAGTTTGATAACCAGGTGAAACCCTTGCCTGCCAGGCCGGGAGGTTGGCTCTTCATGAATTCTTCCTCTCGGTCAGAAGAGGCAACTCTAGGTAACCAGGCCTGTGCCCGCAGGCTGATGCCTAACCTGGACTCACTCGACACTCCTGATGCACGTCTAGTCCAAGATGCTTGGCAAAGGAAGAGCAGATCACTGGGAGGGATGGACCAGGAGACCAGTCCTGACCCTAGATTCTGAGCTGTGGAGCCCGGGGCAGCAGATTTGTTGCCTTCACCTCAGGGTCATCTTAGTACAATGGGCTCATGAATAAATGTCGAGGTCATTGTGAAGGTCCCATTAAAGGAGAGGTAAAAAGTTCTCTGCAGAACTTCAAAACAGCTCTGCAACTGAGGGTTGTTAAAAGAGCCCAGGAGGCTGAGGGGGAGGAAGGCTGGGGGACCAGCCATCAGCTCCTAAGCTGCAGTGCCAGCGGCTACCTGGATGAGGTGGGGTAGGCACCACGCCAGGCAGGACTCACCCTTAGCTTCCAGAGGGGCTTACAAGTGGAGGTCCATGAAAGAGTCTGAGTCTTCGGCGGTGGTTTGCCCAGAGATGCCTGGAACGACCGCAGAACCTGTACCCCGGCCAACCCCAGGGGGCACGATCCCTGGATACTCCCATGCGTGGTGAATAAGGTACGGTGGCTGAGACCCTCAGGGAAGGAAACCCTTTACCATGTGCCATTTCCTCTTCCCAGGACTCTCCCTGACTCTGCTCCAGGCAGGGATGGGACTGACCCCTGGGAACCTGGTGTGGCAGCGGTGGGGAGCACCCAGCAGAGGTTCAGGGAGTCTCCCCTCACTCTCGCAGGAAGCTCACTCGTGTCGGTGGGTGGCTCAGTTCTGGAACGTTTCTCCAGAGAAGGGTCCTGGAAGTCCCCCAGCTGGCTTCTTTAGGGCAGGCCGGGGCTAGGGAGAGGAGAGCGAGGCCCAGGGTATGGATGTAAGCACTCACGCTCACAGGCCTGCCTGCATGAGACTGAAAGAGAGCAGTGCCTTAGATTCCAGGCACCTCTCTTGCCTCCCCCACGTCCCAGCCCTGCTTTTGGGAACCTCCTTTTTCAAGTTCTCTACCTAAGTGACACCACCCACTGCCCACCATAGCTCATCCTACCCTACCAGGTTAAAATCGTTCAAGTCCTTGGCCGGGTGCGGTGGCTCACGCCTGTAATCCCAGCACTTTGGGAGGCTGAGGCAGGCAGATCACGAGGTCAGGAGATCGAGACCATTCTGGCTAACATGGTGAAAACCCGTCTCTACTAAAAATACAAAAAATTAGCTGGGTGTGGTGGTGCACGCCTGTAGTCCCAGCTACTTGGGAGGCTGAGGCAGGAGAATTGCTTGAACCCGGGAGGTAGAGGTTGCAGTGAGTCAAGATTGCGCCACTGCACTCCAGCCTGGGCAACAGAGCAAGCCTCTGTCTCAAAAAAAAAGAAAAAAAAAATTGTTCAAGTCCTTTGTCTGAGAGGAGACAGACATTCTGCCCAGGGCCAGGGGTGTCAGTCAGGCTGACAGTAGATCACATGGAAGATCTACCGAAGGATTCTGGGATTTGTCTTTGCATGGAGAAGAGGCAATTGGTTGAGAGCATGCCTTTAAATATTTGAATGGACCTCCTGTGGGTCAATTAGTGGCCCCCGAAAGATTTGTCCACGTCCTGCTTGCCAGAGCCTGTGAATGCGATCTTATTTGGAAAAGGAATCTTAGCAGATGTAACTGAGTTAAGGATTTCAAAATGAGATTCTGGATTCGGGGGACCCCAAATCCAGGGGCAGGTGTCATGACAGAGAGAGGCAGAGAGAGATTCGGGAGGGAGGAGGAGAAAACCACAGATGACATAGGCAGTGATTAGAGCTTGGCAGTCCCAAACCGAGGGACACCTGGGAGTAGGCAAGGAAGGATCCTCCCCGAGAACCTTTGGAGAGAGCGCATCCCGCCAACACCTTGCTGTTGGACGTCCCGCCTCCACAGCTGTGACAGAATCAGTTTCTGTTGTTGCAAGCCCCTCAGTCTGTAGCAATTAGTTACGGCAGCAACGGGAAGGAACAGCTGTGTCCTGTGAAAGAGGAGGCAGGCTAATTCCATGCGCAGCCAGAGACTTAGCAAGGAAGGGTAAGAGTTCCAGGGGGGCGTCTTGCAGACCAACGTAAGGAAGAATTTCCGAGAACGAGGCCTGCACCGCATCGATGTGGCTGCCTGGAGCCATTCTGCCTCCTACACCATCTGACTGACCGTCTCTTGGGAGCACAGTGGGTAGGACTGCTGTTCAGGAGGACGGGTGGGTTAGGTCCTCCCTCCTTCGTGGACACCTGCTGACGAGGTCCCCCATGCGTGTGCATCACAACAGTAATTCTCCTTCAAGAAAGCATGTTAGAATGCAGACATAAGGGTGATGTCTTGATAGGAATAACTTCGAGTCAGCTCTAATTTCCTTTTTCAAAAATGACATTATTTGCAAATGTTGGTACTGTAACTATTAACAATAATTTACTTGCAGGTAGCTCGCATTTCCCAGGGACACATCGCTGAGGCTTGTCACGGTGGTGAGAGAGAACTGTGGTCTCCTAGGAGGCATGGAGCAGCCTTCCCACACTCTTTGCGTGCACACATCCTCGGGGGATCTGGTCCAGGAGCAGGTTCTGACTCCCCAGGCCCGGGCAGGGACTCCAGACGCTGTGTCTCTCAGAAGCCCCCGGGGGACAGTGACGCTGCGGGTCCACAGGCCACAGGGATCCAGAGTGGCTGCTGGTGAGTTTCCAGAAGACCCAGAACTACTATTTAGAGGGGGCAGGGGAAGGCATTTCACCTCGCTACAACTTAGGCTGGGCCAGAGGAGAACACAGCTTTCCTTTCTGGGAATGCTGTTGAACAATGAAGTGGGACCTGGGGTGGCCGAGATGGACGTACTGGAGAAGTGTGGGCCGGGAGATCTAGAAGCCACCTTTCGATAGAATAACCTAGGATCTCAAAACTTCCCGGGCTCCTGTCCCATCTGGGGTCAAAGGACTTGATGAGACGATGCCGAAGAAACCCCACAGCTGACATTGTGGAGCTTGTCTCCCGTGCCAAACTCTTGCCTTAGCTATCCGCTTTAGTGCCCACAGCAATTCTAGGATTCAATAATTCCTTTACTACTCCATTTTGCAGATGAGAAGACAGAGTATAAAGAGGTTAAACCATGCCTATGGTCACCCCTGTCTGGTGAAGCTGAGATTTGAAGTGGCGTTTGGACCCCAGAGCTGAGCTGATTATCACCATGTCGTTCAGCCTTCCAGAATCCTGCAGACGGTCAATAGGGTACCCTGCCCTCCTGTCCATGCCTGGGCCTCCCAGGCCTAGCAGAGTGGTGGAGGACACTCAGGGACAGGCCAGGGCATCCCTGTACGTGGCCGCTCCCTAGGTCACCCCCTCTCCCTGCTCTGGTTGGCTCCACACTTTTACATGAAGCCCCGCTGCTCCCAGCTGGGGGATGATTCGACCAGGGGCTCCTGTTCCGTGTTTCACGCAGGAAGACTGCTGAGCAGGCGCTGGCTGTGGAAGAGGGGACAGTTGCCACCCTCTTCTAAAATGGCCACTGCGGATTGGAGGGGAAGATTCCTGCACACCCAAGGAGAGGCTGAGGCTCCACGGAGAAGGAGGAAGCAGTGCTGCCTGAATAGACCCCCACAGCATGTCAGCTGCTGGGCAGACACCAGCATCCCCATCATGGAGGGCCTGAATAAACAGCCCTGTGTTACTCTGCTCTTTGCTGAGCAAAACAGGGCTCCAAACCCCTCCTGGCCACCCTCAAATTTCTTCCACTTCCCAAATCCTCAAACCCTTGCGACTATATCCCTTTGGCCTGTCCACCGTAGAAAACAAGAGGCTGGTCTCTTTCCAGGCAAGGAGAGCCTCCCTCCTGGTGCTCCTGGGGTCGCCACACACATCTTCATGGCTGACTCTTTATAGCAAGGTGCAGAGACCTGGGATGGGGGTTCAGATGTGTGCACAGCAGGCTCTTTGGGGTCAGAGAGCTCTTCCGAGCAGGCAGGGCACATTCTCAGGCCATTAGCTGGTCAGGCCGGAGTTCACCTGCTACCACCCTGCCCCCAAACCAGTATCATGGCACGGTCCCTGGTCCCTCAGAGATTCCTTGAGAGAGCAACCCCCACCACAGTCCAGGAGGTAGCTGCATCCCTGGAAAAACAGGACAGACTCCAAGAGAAGCACATAAGCCAATTAAGAGCCCGGCCCAACCCGGCGGCTCCAGCAGCACCTGCTCTCATCTTGCGAGGTGCCTGCGGCTTGGGCTGCTGGGAAGGTACAGTGCGGCCTAATTACATACTCCTCCGTGAGAGGCGGTGTCAAAAGATTAAAGGAATCAAACCAAGTGGCTCTCCGGTGGCCCCTCCCCCAGGAACCAGAGCTGCTGCGTGAAGGTGATTATGGTACCAACGTAGTGGTTAGAAAGATAATTTTCTCTGGGCCCCGTGCCTGCCGCCTCCTCCACTGAGCTGCGCTTCGGCACTGCAACTCTGCCACCTTGTATGGGCTCCACAGATTCATTTTCTTTTTTGTTGGCTCAGCTAAGCAGGAAACAAACTAAGCACCTCTCCCTCCACCAGTCTCCCACCCCACCACCCACGGTCCTCTCCTCCATCATGGCCAACATAGAAGACCCCATCTCTACTAGAAAAAGAAAAAGAAGAAAAAAAAGAAAGAAATTAGCCAGGTATGGTGGCACACACCTGTAGTCTCAGCTAACTGGGAGGCTGAGGTGGGAGGATCACTTCAGCCCAGGAGTTTGAGACCAGCCTGAGCAACATAGTGAGACCCCCATCTCTACAAAAAATAATAATAATAAAAATGAAACAGGAGGACCACCTGAGCCTGGGAGGTCAAGACTGCAGTGAGCTGTGAGCTGTGCCATTGCACTCCAGCCTGGGTGACGGAGCAAGACCATGTCTAAAAAAAAAAGGCAAGATAGATAAGAAGGCACCTCTGCAAGCATCTCCTCCAGGCAGAGAAGACTGAGCATCAGTGAGGGAGGGGAGCAGGGTACCAGGAACGCCCCTCCAGACTCTGCCATGCCTCTGCCCGACTTTGCTGCAGTGACTTTGGGCAAGCGTCCCCCATTTACCCGGCTATGGGCCGTCACCCCTGAGGAGGGAATGCCATATCCTTTAGGTGAGCAGAGGAAGGGTTAAGAGCTGGTCTGAACCTTCAGTACGCAGGGAGGGGCTGGAGCTTCCGGAAGACATGTGACTTGCTGAAGGTCATTAGCAAGATGGACCCAGAGCTCCACTCTCCTGCCCTTCAGCCTGAGAGTCCTCATTCACTTCTCTGCACCTTCAGTATCTGCAGGGTCTTTGCAAAGCCCAAACCTCCACAGGGGTCCTCTCACATCCTTTCTGTGATGACACAGTGACCATCTGTGAGTGGGAGGAAAGACGCCCAGAGGGGTTGGTGGAAGTGGGCGCTGGCCTTGACAATGACTTCTTCTGCTTCTGAGAGTGTGAAGACACGGCTTAGGATTTCAGGTGGAGGGTTTGCTAATGTCACTACAGCACACACCTGCTGGGAACGGTATCTCGGCTGGGGAAGGGGTGCGGAGGGGAAGAGGGGGATGCAAAACCCACCCCTTTCTGGTCTCTTCCCTCCATTTCCATCCTACTGCACTTGCAAACAGAGCATTAGGGAGAGATTAGGGATTTAAAAAGTGGCCATTAGAGGAAGGCAGGAGTGGCCCGCACCAGCTACTGTGGAGTGTCTCCATTACCATAATAACTAACCACTTAATAACTGGCTTCCCCACTAATTCTAATTGAAACACATAATGATATTTCCGGGCCAAGAGTGGCAAGCTCAAGTCTCGGCAGACATCTCCAGGTGCCCCCCACCCAGCTTCATGTGGCGAAAACCATGGGCTCTCCGTGGGTATTCTGTTGGAATAGATTTGGGCAACCGACAGCAGCTCTTGTACGGCTGCCAGGAACCACAGCTGATGATAAAAGCCATTAAAGGTCAGCTGGGAATAGAAAACTATTTATGTTAAATGTCACAGATTAAGCTGCAGAGCGGGCCTCGGGCAGGGAGCAAAGGGTGAGGTGCGAAATGCTGGTCACTGTGCTACCTCTGTATGGTCTGGGAAGTGGGGGGTATTGAAGGGTGGGGGTGAAGCCAGGGGCAGGGGGAGCACTTGAGTTCCTGCCCCCTCCAGCCCAGGGAGGCAGATGGATGCTGGCAGCCACAGGTGATTGGCCAGGCTGGCTGCCCTGAGGTTGCCAGGTGACCTGAGGGCAAGGTGTGGGGAGAGGATGGAGCGGGTGTGTGTAGCATCATCGCGGAAGGGGACCCGGGCCGTCTCCAGGGGGGCCAATGAGATGGAGGCTGCTTCTACTTACAGAGGGACCCTTGCAGACTCTTTCTGGAGCCACGCTCCGGGGAACAGTGGGCGTGTATCTAATCATGACTGAAGATGAGTGTGACACAAGCCAACTGCTCTCTGCAGCCAGAGCCAGGAAGTCACAGAGAAACAAACACCATGCCCCCTTCACCACCTTCCAACGGTCTCGGAAGCCGGAGTTTGAAGGACACAGGAGAGGCTGGAGTGGGAGGGGCTTCAGGGCTCAGCGGAGCCTGGACCAGGCCATAAAGGGTGGCTCCAAGAGAACTGGGGACTCTGGTTCTATCCCCGCCCCAAAAGTGCCCATGCTCCTTAAACCTGAACCTGAGTGTCCGGCGAGAGTTCCTCTGTGCATCTCGGCTCCGTTCTTTGGCAAAACACATCTGAGAAGCCAGTTTGTTGACAGGTCTGAGAAATCCCCCAGAAGTTCATTAGATCACTCAGATCCCATTGAAACAATGACTACCATCCTTGGTGACTCACCTGGGGAGTGGTTCACTTTGTGGGTTGAGGCAGAAAGACTTCGTTTCAGTGTTTCTCCGCCTCCCACCTTGCCTCCGGATTGCCAAGCTGTTGCTGTGTGCACAGGGAATGCAGGCTCATTTTAACACTGGTGCAAGCAGACATCATTGGGAAGGTAAATCTAGTGGGAGAGGGGAGCAGGCAAAATGAATTTCACCCCAAGCCCTGTCCTGCAGCCTTAAGTCCAGTCACAGGAGGGTAGTTTGAAGCCGGGGCATCTTTCCTCCGGGAGCTGGGAATCATTCGTACCATTGGACGGGGCCTGAAGGAGTTACTGAGGTTGTCTCCCCCGACACCCCTGTGACGGAGAACAGATCTCTGTGAGCACAAGGGGGCCCGGGAAGGCCCTCGCCTTCACTCTTCCTATGAGCTGTTTGGCTGCAGAATGACTGGGTTGGAAGTGACCTGGCCTCGAAGCACTCACAGGAATACGATGGGATGGAGAGAGATCCCAGGAGGCCCTGAGGGTCCACCAGGGGGCGCTGTGTCAAGATGGTAGGAAGAGTGGGCTTGGAAGGATGGCTGGGGGTGAAGGTGGGATGTTGATGGACACTAGTAAGACTTATACTGATTTCTGCCATCAATAGATACGTACTGGCAACTACTCTGCACCGACCCAGTGGTTGACCATTATCCTTTCTTCTAGAACCTCACTGCGAATAGGGAAGATCAATATGTTCCCGAGTAATTATAGTACATCAAAACCATCTCTGGGAGAGAGGCAGTGCAGGGACTCAGAGCGCCTAGAAGAGCAACCAGGAGGATGGGGAAAGCTTCAGAAAGGCAACATTGGAACCACCGGGCCTTCCACAACCTAAAGGAGAAGGCTGGAGAGGAAAGTGTGGGCAAGATGGTAAAGATCCTCCAATACTGTTTTTTTTTTTTTTCTTGGGACAGAGTCTTGCTCAGTCGCCCAGGCTGGAGTGCAGTGGTGTGATCTTGGCTCACTGCAAGCTCCGCCTCCTGGGTTCACGCCATTCTCCTGCCTCAGCCTCCTAAGTAGCTGGGACTATAGGCACCTGCCACCGCGCCTGGCTAACTTTTTTTGTATTTAGTAGAGGTGGGATTTCACCATGTGAGCCAGGATGGTCTCGATCTCCTGACCTCGTGATCCGCCCGCCTCGGCCTCCCAAAGTGCTGGGATTACAGGCGTAAGCCACCATGCCCAGCCTGATACTGTTCTTAAGAAGGGAGTTGAAAGTTAACTTTGAAGGCAAGAGAGAGGTATGCGCTGTTTTGGGGCAGGAGAATAAGAGGGCTTGTCCTGGATTTTAGAAAGAACACTCTGGAAGCTGCAGGGAGAATATGCTAGACACAGAGGTTCTCAACCTTGACTGCATCAAAATCATCTGGAGGGCTGGTGAAAATACGGATCGTTGGTCCCTCCCCCAAGAGTTTTTAATTCAGCAAGGCTGGGCTGCGGCTGGAGAATTTGTATTCCTAACAAGCTCCCATGTGCTGCTGCTTTGGGTCCAGGGACCACAGTTTGAGAACCACTGTGTTGGAGAGAGGATCTGTGGAGGAGCTGGAAGCAAGGAGAGCAGGTAGAAAGAAATGGGAATAACATGAGAGACGATGAGGAGACTGGCTTGAGAGACCACTGATGTCTCAGGGCAGGCAGATGGCGTGGTGTGGATGGGGAGAGGCAGGGCTCAGAGGCAGGGAGCGGGTAGCAGAATCAGGATATGGCCTTGGAGGAGCTGAAGCAGCAGAAGATGGTCAGGACAAGGAAGTGCAAAGCCAGGAAACGGGAACAGGATCCCAGGCAGGGCAGAGGTCCCAAAGCAGCAAGGACAGAGCCAGAGACTGGGGCTGGGGTCAGAGTTCCAACTCGTTTGGTTGAGGAGGTGAGCAGTGGGCCAAGACG